CCGACAATCATTTCATCGACAGCTCATTTAGCTGACATCACTTCAAGTGACAATTTACTAAAAATATATACCTAAAACTAATAAAATCCTAACCCTAACTCCATGTGATGTCGGCTAAATGAACTTTCGGTGAAATGACTGTCGGTGAAGTGAGCGGCACCGACTTTTTTTCTTTTGTCAGGTTAATAAAAATTTATTGGTTCTTGATCACGTGATTGTGCACGACCCCCTAAAATAGAATTAATTAAAAATACCCGGATGCAGAAATATGATCGATTAGACTGATTATCGAAAAAAAAAATTGTTCTTGCTTAATTTTTTTTTAAAAATGAGACCCTCGTATCGTATAGTTGTTTTAGATATCGAAGGAACTACCACTCCTATTTCCTTTGTTCATAATGACTTGGTAAATAATATTCATTTATATAAGTGACTCTCTATGTGTAAAAATGGGTGTGAATAAAAATACTTATTTGCAGATAACTTAAATGGTGTTTAAACATATATTATTAAATTTGGATTAGAGTTAGATATGAATGTAGAGTATTTTAACTACCTGATTACTTGACTGGTTTATTATTGTGTACTTTATAAACCTAATTTGTTAGCAATAATTAAGAATTGCAATTTGAAATTCACTCTCCCCGATATTTAAGATAGGTTTGAGTTAAAAACAAATTTTGCACTTAGAGAATTACACAAGAACTGTCTAGAGTTATTATTAGATTTGAGACTATTTTAATAGAATTAAAGTTTCCGTACGTTACAAAAAATCTAGAAAACTTCTTGAACGAGAATTGGTCGGACAACGAAATGAAAGAAAATATACAAATGTTGCGTGAACAAGTAAGTGATATATAAATAAAATCTGAATAAAGAAAAAATCAAATTGATGTTAGGTTATAGTTTTTATGATTAATTTAACTTTTTTATAGGCAATGAAAGATGTGAACGAAGGATTAGTTGGCGCTAATTTAATTCCTGAAGAAACAAGCACGTAAATGAAAAAAAAATCAATACAATAAAAGCATATAGATTCTATAAAGAATTAATATAATACATCTTAACGTTTTTTAGCAACGTAGATGAAGTAAAAAAATCAGTAATTCAAAACATTAAATGGCAAATGTCATTCGACAGAAAAATTAGTGCTCTTAAGTCGTTTCAAGGATACATTTGGAAATCAGGATTTATTTCTGGCGAATTGAAATCAATGTATGTTTGTCAATGTTTACACTAATTTTATTTAATTGCATTAAGTAAACTCTAAAATTCCGTTATTTGCGTAGAGTTTATGATGACGTGATTGAAGCAATGAATCAATGGAAAGATTTCGGAATAAAAATGTATATTTATTCATCGGGAAGTGTAGCTGCTCAAAAATTATTGTTTGGGCATTCGAATAAAGGAAATTTGTTAGAGGTAGTATTTATTTATCAAGTACTATGATATGATTAATTTAATTATAATCCGAAAACTAACATTTAAGTTTAACTAGTATTTTTCAGGTTATTTTGATACAACAATTGGTTCTAAACTTGAAAAAAATAGTTATTTAAACATCGCTAAACATATTGGAGTAGAACCGAAAGATATTGTATTTTTGAGCGATAACTTTAAAGGTTGTTCTAATTATCGATCCTTATTTCTATTTATTTTTTATTTTTTTTTATTTTTCTATTCTAAACCTTTTTTTTTTTTTATTTTTTTTAATAATTTATGTAGAAATTAATGCAGCAAAAGATGCAGGATTTCAAACAGCAATCGTTGAACGTCCAAACAATGCACCTTTGTCTGATGATGATCGAAATAATAATGTTGTCATCACTGATTTTCTTCAAATATTCACTCATAATTTATTTATTGAACCTCTCGGTTGAGAAGGATTTTTGAAAGGAGATTTTTATTTATTTATTTACAATTATCTATCCGGAACTCTATAGTAATTGTAATTATCAACTCCATGGGTCAGATAGAATTACAGTAAGAAATAAACAACTGTATGTTCGCCAAGTTCATTTCATTAGTTTATCAGGTATTTATTCTTTAGAATAGTTTTGAGAGTAATGGCTTATAAAAATATTCTATTTACAGTTGATTAACAATAAAATTAAATAAAATTACTGATTCAACTAGTTGTGCATAAATTTTATTTTCTATACATACATGCATAATTCAAAAAACAATAAGAAAATTTGGTTTGATTATATAAATAAATAAATAAATTCCTTTTTTATGCTGCCAGAGCGTAAATGTTAACATTAATAATATCTTTAATCAAAATTTTATTTAGTTAGAACTTGTTTCAAAGCATAAGATCAATCATTATGTCGAAAGCAAGTCAACTATCTATCATGTTATTTATTCCTTTAAATTTTTAACTATATTAAATAAAAAATAAATGGTAAATGAAAATTTAATATTTCCGTACGCTTTCTTCATAATTTTTGTTAGTTAAACAATTATTACTGTACATTTTGAATTTTTTACGATGCCCTTTAATATTAAAACTAAATCGTGAAAATTTTTGCAAAATAAAGAGTTTTTCTTAGATTGATATATATATATTTTTTTGATAACATTTGCGAAGCACAATAATTATCATAATAAAATACAATTAGTTAATACTATAATTCATATTAGTTTAACCGACAAAAGCATATATTTTTTATTTATAATAATATTATGTGATAATATTCTTATAATTAAATATTTTATTACTTTCTTTGTATGTAACCTATAAAGACCGGAACCTAGGGAATTAGAACTTGATTCATTTAATCGAAATACTTGTATGAAAATGATTATAAGAGTAATTGATCTGAAATAACACCACCAAATACCTCTGAATCAACACCTGCATGGATACATAAAAAAGTTCATAAAATTATATAAACATTCCTGAAGCATTTGAAAAGGATGCTTCAATTTGGATTCGACCATTAATGTAATTAGTAATTGATGGAGATATTTATGGAGAGAGAATTACCTACTTTATTCAGGTAATCTTATATTTAACTATGTTAAATTTATAGTAACCATTTAATTCAATCTTTGCGCTATAATAATTGTTTGGAGCTACTTTTAAAACATTAGGATCTTATGATGGTAATTCGTTTAGACCCGTTACATTTATTTAGTTTTAAAGATTAGTATTATCGTTCTTGTTCCTATAATTAGGATTTTTTGATGCGAAATACATGCTGCGTTATCCTTCGTAATAATATTCAATCAATTAAGTGAATGTTCGAAGCATGGGACGTACCAACTGTATGAATGTACCTTTATTATTTCATGGTCTTAAAGATTTCTTGAATTTGTTAATTTCAGAGAGTTATAAATGAATAATTCAGTAGCTTTGACGAAACCAAATTATTGCTGGCTTTCAATTACTTGGAATTGCATTAACACATGACAAATCCCCTTTTAAGCAAGATGTTGGGATTGACTTGGTACCCTTACGGAATAAAAATTTTATCGGGATATTACAAAAAATCTATATCATAAAAAAGTCAATATACTGTACGTTCGCTTGCAGCTGAGATATGGTTTGTTAAGTTGAATTATTATATTATTATTATGTTACTTATATTCACTCATTGTTTAAGGTGTGTGGTATAGCATTGAAGCATCTACGAAAATACCATTGTTCTGATGATAAACTTGGAAATTTGCCGAGTCCTATTATCGAAAAGGTACTCTACTTTTAAACTTTAATGTTAGAATTATCTTATATTTTTATGTTACCACTTAATATTAAAAAATCACAAACAAATCAACAAAACTTAATGCATTTCTTACTTGTATACACCATATTTCAGTGCACGATCGTCCGACTTCAGAAAAATTTTCAAAATACGTATGTTTTTTTATCTTTTGTCAAAGCCAAATAGTCTCAATGTTAAGAAAATTCTTGCACTGGAAATTATTTTATATTGCGCTGAAAGTGATCCTGACGTGCTTACGAATTTAGGAATAGTTCAGCTTCTTACATTACTTAGACATAGGTATGTACAGTATATTTCTATTTATTTTACACATTTACATATTATTTACACATCTCATTATTATCTTTTTTTTTTCTGACAAATTACTACAGGAGTGATAATGAACAATTAGTGAAATTAAGAATTTTGTATGGTGTTTTACTTCTGGAAGATGACTCTTTAATTGATTATTTTTTGGATCCATTAATCGAAAGTTTTAAAGACATTCTAATATTAATTGTCGAGTATCCTTTTCAAATAATAATAATAATAATAATAATAATAAAATAAAATAAATAAAGGTTTTGGAAATTTTAATTTTATTAATTCTTAACAGAAATGTTTTACAGGAAACATATTCTGCCATATTGATTAAGGAGATGCTTCAATAGATAATAAAAGCAGAAGTTAAAGATTAGTTTATTAAAAGGTTTAGCAGATTATAACGAAAAATATACAACAAACATTGACCGAATTTTGTAAGGAACAGTAAGAGCATTCTAGTGATACATTAACTTTATTAAATTTATATTGATATATTTTATTGCTTGTATATCGTTTTGTTTTTAAAAATTTATTTGTTTCTTGGTTTCTAGGAATTTGTATTGAAAGAGAGAGAGCGAGAGATCCGAGATTGAGACCCTCTTTTTACAATACTCAATCTAAATTTGATGATAATTATGATAATATCGACACATCATGGCGAGTGAACAATACTATGACACCGTTTTTCGTTGATACACAAATAAGTAAACCAAAGGTATATATTTATAAATGAATTGATGTTAGGATATGAGAAGATCCAATGTTTTTACTAGATAAAAAGTTTTGAATTAATTTTATAATAGCCTTATTATAAACGAGATAATCAAGAGGGATTCGTTCGAGCAGCAGTAAAATTACGTATTCAGTTTGACAATTGATCCAAGTACGGATAATTTTTTTAATGATTTGCTTCGTATTAGCTTTTCTATTTTTTCTATTTCTAATTTTTAATCGATTAATGAATCTTAGAATGAATTCGGATTTTCGGATCTCAATTGCCTACTTGGACATGTAATTATGCTGTATAAATTTGTTTAACAATATCGATTTTTTAAATTGTGTTCATAAGGACGACAGAAGGTTCGCAATATCAGAAATTTCGAAAACTGCATTTTCCAACATATTCAGGAACTCAGCAGATTATTATAAAATTTGGCTTATACAAAAAAAAAATAAAATAAAATAAAATAAAATAAAATAAAGGAAATATTTAATTCTATGAGATCAGAAACTATTTCGAAACAATTCATTTATGGAATTTCTCTTTGAAGAAAAATAAACCTTTTATTAATTTAATTTAATTTTTTTTTTTTTTACAGGCGAACTTCCTGATATTGAAATTAAACGTAATGACATTATTGGCCCATTACAAGCATTGGCGCA